GCCTCACTAGTAGCTGGGATTACAGGTGTGCACCACCATGCCCAGCTAATGTTTGTATTTTTAGTAGAGACAGGGTTTCACCATGGTGGCCAGGCTGGTCTCAAACTCCTGGCCTCAAGTGATCCGACCACCTGGGCATCTCAAAGTGCTGGGATTATAGGCATGAGCCATCACACCTGGCCAGGATCATAATTAACATACTGTTTTGCAACTTGCTTTTTTTTTCACTTGAAATTATGTCTCAAAGAGCTCTGCATACCAGTACATTTAAAGCTGTTTCATTCTTTTTAACTGCTGCATATTATTAGTTCTGGATCTGCTTTATTAATAAAGCAAGATTATAATTACTCTGGTACATACAGCTTTGCCAACAGGTAGAATAATTTCTTTAGTATATTCTACTCTAAATATAATTGTTTGGTTAAATGTATGAGATTTTATACTGCCAAAAGAAGGATATGAGATTTTATTTAGTTAATGGATGTACCACGAAACTGCCCTCCAGAAAGGCTGGGCCAATTTATACCCCCATCAAACATAAGACAGGATCTATTTCCCCACATCCTCATGCACACTGTGTACAAGTGCTTCTCAACCTATAATGGGGTCATGTCCCAATAAATTCATAGAAAATTCCATAAATCTAAAATGCACTTAATACATCCAATCTACCAATCATCATAGCCTAGCCCACCTTAAAAATGCTTGAAACACTCACATTAGCTGACAGTTGGGCAAAATCATCTAATGCAAAGCCTATTGTATAACAAAGTGTTGAACAGCTTATGTAATTTATTGAATACTATACTGAAAGTAAAAACGGAATGGTTTTATAGGTACTTGAAGCACAGATTTTACTGAATATGTATTGCTTTTGCATCACCAAATAAAGTCAAAAAATCATAGGTTGAATCATCATAAATTGGAGACCATCTGTATTAGTAATTATTGCCAATATAAGAGGCAACAAAAGATTGTCCTTTTTTTGTTTGTTTTTAGACAGGTTCTCACTCTGTTGCCCAGGCTGTATTGCAGGGGTGCAATCACAGCTCACTGCAGCCTCAACCTGCCTGAGCTCAGGTGATCCTCCCACCTCAGCTTCCCCAGTAGCTGGAGCTACAGGCGCATGCCACTACACCCAGCTAATTTTTGTACTTTTGGTAGAGATAGGTTTTTGCCATGTTGCCCAGGCTGGTCTCAAACTCCTGAGCTCAAGCAATCCACCCGCCTTGGCCTCCCAAAATGCTGGGATCACATAGGTGTGAGCCACTGCACCTGGCCCAGATTGTCCTTTTAATTCACATCTTCCTAAATATCTGTTATCTTGGGCATAATTTCACGTTTAAGATCCTTTTGCATTTCTTCTCTGAGCATTAGTTAATATCCTTTGGGTATTTTCCTGTTTAGCTGTATTTTTCTCACTGGTTTGTAGTTCCTTATACATTTCTGTATATTATTTTTCTATTACATAGTTTGTACATATATTTTCTCAATATATCATTAACATCTTAATTTTGTGATATTTTTTATATTCAGAATTTCTACTTTTTTAGACAGGATTTTGCTGTGTCTCCCAGGCTGGGCATGCAGTGGCGTGATCATAGCTCACTGCAGCCTTGAACTCCTGGGCTTAAGCGATCTTCCTGCCTCAGTCTCCTGAGTAGCTAGGACTACAAATGTGTGCCAACATGCCCAGGTAATTTTTCTTTTTTGTAGAGACAGGGTCTCACTATATTCCCCAGGCTGGTCTCAAACTCCTGGTCTCAAGATATGCTCCCGCCCAGGCCTCACAAAGTGCTGGGATTACAGGCATGAGCCAGGGCCATAATCCCAGCACTTTGGATTCTGAAACCATGGCACCTAGCTCCAGAACTTTTACATTATGATGTGGTCAAAAACATTAACTTTTTCTTGTATGGCTTCTGGGTCATTGCATATATATATTTGCGTGTGTGTGTGTGACCTCCAAATCCTAGCACTATTCATGTAATAGACCATTATTCACCAATAAATTTAAAGAGCTAACTTAACCATATGTTAATTATCATTTATACTGAGATCTGTTTCATCGGTTGACTTTTCTGTTCCACTGATAATATATGGATATATAATTATAAACTGCCTCAATATCACACTTTTACTTGGTGTAGCTTTGTAGCAAGTTTTGGTGTCTTGGAAAACAAATCCTTCATTGCTCTGCATTTTCCAACTATTTTTGGATATCCTTGGGCATTTGAAGTGAAGTTTCAAGTTTCATTTTTTAAAAATGTTATTGGACTTTTCATTAGATTTATTTACAATTTATAGATTAAGCCAGGTGAAGTGGCTCATGCCTCTAATCCCAGCACTTTAGGAGGCCAAAGCAGGTAGATCATTTAAGGCCAGGAGTTTGAGACCAGCCTGGCCAACATGGTGAAACCCCGTCTCTACTAAAAATACAAACATTAGCTGGGCATCGTGGTGCACACCTGTAATCCCAGCTACTAGGGAGGCTGAGGCATGAGAATTGCTTGAACCCTGGAGGCAGAGGTTGCAGTGAGCTCAGGTTGTGCCAGTGCACTCCAGCGTGGGCGACAGAGTAAGACTCTGTCTCAAAAAAAAAAAAAGAATTTATAGATTAACTTAAGGAATAATTTAAATGTTAGTAATAAATTATTTTCACCCAGGGTCATGTAGTATTTTTAAAATTTATTCACATCCTCTTCTGTGCTCTTCAAGAAAATTGTGTCATTTTCTTTTGTTTGTGTGTGTGTGTGTGAATTTGTATTATTAATTATAAAAGTTTGTCTGTTGATTTTCTCAAAAGATATTTATATTGTCTGTAAATGATAGTTTAATGTTTTTCCTTTTGATATTTTATGCTATTCATGTAATCTTTTCTTCTTATTATATGTAACAAGAAGTCCTGAGTAATGTTGAATAGTAAAGGTGATAACAGGCATCCTTATAGTCAGAGTCCAGCTCCTGACTATAATGGAAATGCTTTTCATGTTTCATCATTAAGTACAATATTTCTATGCATCTCCTACACAAATCCTTTACCAAGTTAAGGAAACTTCTATTCCTAGAAAGCCAGGAGTTGTTATCAGGAAAGGATATTTAAAATCAAAAAAAGTTTTATGGTACCTATTGAGATTTTCATATTTTAATATGATTTTAATATAGCAGACTACAATAAAAAATGTTTAAATATTGGACCACCTTTGAATTCTTGCAATAAACATCACATGGTAATGGCTATTTTTTAAATAAATTGCTGGATTTCAATTTGCTAATATCTGATTTTACATTTTTGTAGATGAGATCAGTTTATAGTTTTCTTTTTCTGTGTATCATCCTTTTCCAGTTTTTGATATTATAATAGAATTATACTAGCCTTATGAAATTAGTTAGGAAATTTTCTATGTTCTGGAGTCAGTCTGTATAACAAGAGAATTTTTCATTCCTTAAAGGCCTGGGAAAGAACTTTTCTTAAAAAAAAAAAATAGTCTGAGCATGGTAATTGTCTTTCTTTCCTTTTGTTGTTGTTTTGTTTTTTTTTTTTTAGCAGTAAGATTTTTCTTTTTCTTTTTGAGACGGAGTCTCACTTTGTCACCCAGGCGGGAGTACAGTGGCGCAATTTTGACTCACTGCAACCTCCGCCCCCTGTGTTCAAGTGATTATCATGCCTCAACCCCGAGTAGCTGGAACTACAGGTGCGTGCCACCACATTCAGCTAATTTTTGTATTTTTAGCAGAGATGGGGTTTTGCCATGTTGGCCAGGCTGGCCTCAAACTCTTGACCTCAAGCAATCCACCTGCCTCGGCCTCCCAAAGTGCTGGGATTACAGGCATGAGCCACCATGCTCAGCCTGCAGTAAAATTGTTGTCTCTTTTTTTTTTTTTTTGTGGTTGGCTTTGGCCAAACTTTTTATTTAGTATTCTGTAGTTGTTTAACACATACTTAAATGGTCTTATTGGGCAAGGGGAAAGGGAAGGGTCTTGCAGATTCCCAAGGAAATATCAGAAAGGCAAAATGGCCAGCATTATCCATTTGCTTTTTTAGGTTTACTAGGTGAATATTTCCTTACATAGGTATCTGATTTCAGGTTTTTCATACTGAGAACATGGAGGCTTTAGTTGGACGACACCCTGAAATCTTATGAGTAGCATACTCCAAACTTTAATAGCTAGTTTGTTTGTATAGGCAGAATGATTCATCTCTCCATTTTAGGTGACTAGATGTTTTGTGGAAGATCTTAGAATTGGTTGCCTCACTTACTGGGAAAAATCATATAGGAAATGGTCTTTAGGGACACTTTTACTTGGAAAGTTGCAACACGAGTACAACAAGTCTTAACACATTTAACATTTACTTATTGAAAAGCAATGTCATAAAGTCAAATAAAATTAAACATATTTTGCTTTTTTCCTCACAAGAACATAAAAATTATGGAGGGGAACTTAACAGGGAATTTTAAAAAGGTAACACAATTTTTCCTTTTAGTAGTCCTTGGGTAGTTATGACAGAATAGCTTCCACTTTTTGTTTGTTTCTTTGAGCTGGCATTTTGGTCCAAAGTTTTGTTTGTTTCTAGTATCTGCTTCTGCCTCCCCTTCTATCAGATCGGCTTCCTCCACTGCCACCACCTCTTGGTGCTCCGCAGCATGAACTGCTGTAGGAATCACATGGAGGAGGGTACCCCCTTTCCATAGAAGGGGGAAGCCCTCTTTCTTGTCTGCCAACCCGATCACGACCACTTGAGTAGAGATCACTTTGGCTACTTGAGTAATTGTCTTGACTTCCACCATATCCATCACGTGAGCTGCTGTAAACATGGTAGTGATTGCTTCCACCATAAGATGGCGGGGGCCCTCGTGTAGGTGGAGCACTGTGTGAGTTACCATAACTCTCATATGAATCTCTGTAGGAATCTGCACTTGATGATCTGAATAATCACGGTGACGACCATATCCATCTCTACAGCCCATCTCTATAGCCCATCTCTATATCCATCTCTATCCATCGCTATAGCCTCTTGATGGATAGTCATCACGTGAACTGGAATGACCATAATCACGGTAAGTATAATCTCGTGGTGGTGGTACATAATCTCTTGTATTATGAGAACTTGGGTAATCTGCTGGAATAGCTGCCTTTAGTAGAATACCCATCATCTCTTGGGGACAAATAAACATCTCTACGAGAGGGCGGTGGCTCTCTTCAAGGTAGACCTCCGGAACTATCTCTTCCATGTGATACAGGAGCTCTTCCTCCCATTCCACTGCTGCTGCCAACTGGTCCTGAAGGTGCAGATCTCTTAGGAGGAGGACCACCACTTCTTGGTGGTGGTCCTCTTTTTACTGGGAGTGGTCCCCTAGAAGAACTCATGTTAAAATTCATGGAATATCCACCATCATCCATGTGTCCTCCCCAGGAGGGTGGTCGCCTGGTTCCTCCACTTCCTCCTCTTCCATCTCTAAGACCTCTTGGAGGTAGAGGCGGCCCATGTCTACTACTTTCAAACGATGGTTTGGTGGCTTGTTCTACTTTGATGGCTTTTCCATCTAATGACTTTCCATTCATGATTCTGGCTGCATCGTTAGCATCTTCTGGGCTTTCAAAGGTGACAAAAGCAAATCTTCTTGATTTGTTGGTTTCAAGGTCTTTCATCAAGAGTACTTCCACTATTCGTCCATATTTGCCAAATACTGCTTCAAGAGCTTTTTCATATTAAGCCCACCAATGAAGAGCTTTCCTGGGTGATCTGCTTCAACCTTTTTTTTTTTTTTTGCCGGTGAGTCAGAGGGTTTTTTTGCCGGTGAGACAATGTGTTCAAGCTCCAATGAGCTCACCGAGAGGGGCTGCCTAGGAGCTAAGTACCAGTGGCGGCTGCCGGGTCCAAGGACCGAACCACGAAGCCACTAGCACTACTATGCAACGAGGGTGAACAGAATAGCAAACTTTATACTGCCCGGGAACGAGGCTGAAGGCAAATATTTATGTCTTTATTGGTCTATTCAAGTTTTCTACTTCTTGAGCCAGTTTTAATTACTTGTATTTTCTTTTTTTTCCCCCTTTTTTAATTATAATTTAAGTTCTGGGGTAAGGGATGTGCAGATAGTGCAGGATTGTTACATAGGTATACACATGCCTTGGTGGTTTGCTGCATCCATCCCCTCGTCACCTACATTAGGTATTTCTCCTAATGTTATCCCTCCCCAATCCCCCAATCCCCTGCTATCCCTCCCCTAGCTCCTCACCCTGCAACAGGCTGCAGTGTGTAATGTTCCCCTCCCTGTGTCCATGTATTTTTTTTTTTTTTTTTGAGGCAGATGAGAAAAGCTTTATTAGCACAAAGAAAGTCTGGGCAATGTCGTGACACCCTGTCTCCGCAAAAAAAGTCCAATTTGCCGGGTGTGGTGGCGTGCATCTGTGGCCCCAGCTACTCAGGAGACTGAGGTGGGAGGATCACTTGAGCTCAGGAGGTCAAGGCTGTAGTGAACTATGATTGCACCACTGTACTCCAGCCTGGGTGACAGAGCGAGACCTTATCTACAAACACACACACGGAAGAGGCTGCCAGAGCTGGGATGGAGTCCACCATTACCTTGGCCCCCTTACATACATACATACACACACACACACACACACACACGCACACACACATGAAAGAGGCTTCTAGAGCTGGGAGGGAGTCCTCCAATACCTTGGCCCCCTGCCCCCTGCTTGCAGGGCTCTGATCACTGCAGGAAGTTGGAGCTGTGTAGTGCGAGGTCCCACTTATGAGTGAGAACATACAGCATTTAGTTTTCCTTTCTTGTGTCAGTTTGCTGAGAATGATGGTTTCCAACTTCATCCATGTCCCTGCATGAACTCATCCTTTTTCATGGCTGCATAGTATTCCATGGTGTATATGTACCACATTTTCTTTATCCAGTCTATCATTGATGGGCATTTGGGTTGGTGCCAAGTTTTTACTATTGTAAACAGTGCCACAATGAACATATGTGTGTTTGTGTACTTATATTTTCTTAATATATGATCCATTTTGTCTGGAATTTCACTTTGAGTGTTATAAAATTCTGACTTGTATTTTATTATATTTTTCCTATTGTCTTCTATATCTGTAATTACAATTCCCAATGTTGTTTATTGTCTCTTCTTTTTTCTTTGATCAGAATTGCCAATTTTTTTCTTCAGATAACTTCAGTTTCTATAATCAATTGTATTGTGATATTTTTCTTCTTGTCTTGTTTTCTCTCTTTTTTCTTACCTTTAGTTTTCCATCCTTCTATTTCCTTAAGATTCAGTTTACTGTTCTTTTTCTATATTCTTGAGTTAAATGTCTAGTTCATTTAATTTAAATCTTCCTTATTATCAAATATATATGTAAACGTAAATGACCCTCTTAATAACTCTATCCCAGGTTGTACATCTGGTGGTTTTATTTCCATTCTCATCTACATAATTTGAAGTCATGATTTTTATTTCCTCTTTAACCCAAGAGTCATTTAGAAGAGTCTTTTTTAAATTTTTGGATTAGGTGTAGGGATTGTATTAATGTCTAATTTTATTTCATTATATTGTGTCACCTTCTCTTCAAGGTCTTCTTTAATTGTGCAATTTAAAATATCCCTGCAGCTTCTTTGGCATCATTGAGTTTGACTTTCTTTCTTTTTTAAAATTTTTTTTATTTTCAATTTTGTGGGTACATGATAGATGCATATGTTTATGGGGTACGTGAAATGTTTTGATACAGGTATGTGGTGTGAAATCATTACAGGACTTACTACTTGTTCATTTACTTATGTGTTATTTGATTCCTCTCTTTAGGATGTAAGCTCCTTGGGAACTGAGACATCGCTTCTTATTTGCTACCACATCTCCAGTACCTGAAACAAACAGGGCCTGGGACATTATTCAATAAATATTTGTTAAATAAATAAATTATGAATAATAAACGTGAACCCCTATGATTATTCTTTCTGCTTTTTAAAAAATAAATTGGTGGGATTTAACAGTTGAATAAGTAAGCATGTTCTAATACCTGAGCATTTCTTAAAATCAAGTGCATTTGAAAAGAATGTTATTTTGTGTTGTGTACGAAGTTGTTTATATTAGAGAGATTAGTTAAAGCTCATCGAGTGTGGAATTTAAATCCTCTATCTTTTTGCTAATCTGTGGATTATTGAAAAAGATGTGCTAAGCCTCTCAACTATGATTGTAGATGTAACAATTTTTTCTTATATTTATATCATATTTTACATTATGTATTTTGAAGCTATAGTTAATTACATAAAAGATTGTAAGAGTTATATTTTCTAGGTAATATAACCATTTAATAATAAATGTCCCTCTGTATCCCTTTTAGTCCTTTCTGTCTGAAATTCTACTCTGTCTTATATTGATAATGCAATTTCTGCTTTCTTTTTATTAGAAACCTGGTTTATCTTTTTCCATCAACTCATTTAATACAGTATAGAGGTGAATTTTTCTTTTTCCATCAACTCATTTAATACAGTATAGAGGTGAATTTTTATTTTTAACACAATCTGAGAGTCACTGTCTCTTTTTAAGTGAATGCAACCAATTCACATTGTTATTACAATATATTTGGATTTATTTCTGCCATTTATTTTTGCATTATCTGTTTACCATGCTTTTCTGTTCCTTTTTCCCCCCTACTTTGTGTTGGATCAATTTATTTTACCTATAGTGGTTTGGAAGTTATGCATTCCATTTTATTTCCCCCCCACACCCGAACCTTTGTCAGCCTTTTTTTTTTTTTTTTTTTTTTTTTGCAGATACCTACAAAGAAGTCCTTTTTTTTTTCTTTGACAGGATCTTGTTTGTTGCTTAGGTTGGAATGCAATGTCGCAATAACAGTTCACAGCAGCCTCGATCTCCCAAGGCTCAAGGATCTTCCCACCTTAGCCTCCTGAGAAACTGGGACTACAGGCATGCACCACTGTACTCGGCTAATTTTTTGTTTGCTTGTTTTTCGTAGAGATGAGGCTTCACTATGCTGCACAGGCTGGTCTTGAACTCCTGAGCTCAAGATATCCTCCAGCCTAGGCCACCCAAAGTTCTGGGATTACAGGCATGAGCCACTGTGCCTGGCCCTACCAAGCAGTCTTACTTTCTATTCTCCATTCTTTCTACATCTGATAGCCTGTTCCATAAAACCTGTTTCCAAGGGGCAAATGCCTCTTCCGTGTTCCTAGCATACTAGAAGTAGAAGCCAAAGCCATAAGGTTTCTAGCATAAAAAATGGGGAAATAGGCCGGGCTCAGTGACTCACACCTATAATGCCAGCACTTAGAGAAGCCGAGACGGGCAGATCACAGGTCAAGAGATCAAGACCGCCCTGGCCAATATGGTGAAAATCCATCTCTACTAAAAATACAAAAATTAGCTTGGCATGGTGGCGCACACCTGTAGTCCCAAGTACTCGCGAGGCTGAGGCAGGAGAACCACTTGAACCCGGGAGGCAGAGGTTGCAGTGAGCTGAGATCGAGCCACTGCATTCCAGCCTGGTGACAGAGTGAGACTCTATCTCAAAAAAAAAAAAAAAAAAAAAAAATGGAGGAATAGCTTCATGACCTTGGGGAAGGCAAAGATGCCTTGGACAGGGCACAAAAAGCATTAATAATAAAAGATAAAATTGATAAATTGGGCTTTATCAAAATTGAAATTATTTTTCATCCACAAACATTATTAACAAAATGGATAGGTAACGTACAGATTTGGAAAAAATATATATATAGTACATGTATCTGACAAAGCACCTATATCCAGAATACATAAAGAATTCCTACAAATCAACAGTAAAAAGAAAAATCCATTGTTAAAGGGGGTACAAACTTGAATGAACACTCACGAAGGTAGATATCCAGTCCTCAACATCTTCAGTAATCAGAGAAATGCAAATAGAAAACACAATGACATTCCACCATACTTCCACTAGAATGGCTGAAATCAAAAGACTAACAGCACCAAATGTTGTTGAGAACATGGAGAAACCAGAATACTAATACATTATCATCAGGAGTGTAAACTGATACAGCCACTTTGGAGACATCTTTCTTAGTTTCTTATAAAGTTTAACATTCACTTACCATACAACCCAAGTTCACTTCTGAGTATTATTTAGTCAAGAAAAGTGAAAACATGCCTACATAAAGACTAGTACATGAATGTTTATATCAGCTTTATTCATAATAGCTAAAACTCAGAAACAAAAAGAGAATGAATAAACAAATTGTTGTACATATATACAGTAGAATACTATTCAGCAATAAAAAGTATTAAAGTACTGATACATGCAACAACATGAATAAATATCAAAGACAGCATGCTGGCCCAGCACCGTGGCTCACACCTATAATCCCAGCACTTTGAGAGGCTGAGGCAGGTAGATTGCTTGAGCTCAGGAGCTTGAGATCAGCCTGGCCAATGTGGCAAAACCCTGTCTCTACTACTATAAAATTACAAAAATTAGCCAGTCATGGTGGCGCAGCCCTGTAATCCCAGCTACCTGGGAGGTTGAGGCATGAGAATCACTTGAACCCAGGGGGTGGAGGTTGTAGTGAGCTGAGATCATGCCACTGCACTCCAACCTGGGCAACAGAATGAGACTCTGTCTCAAAAAGGAGAAGTATGGCCAGGCACAGTGGCTCACACCTCTAATCCCAGCACTTTGGGAGGCCAAGGTGGGCGTAT